AAGTCTGCTGTTGAATCATATGCTGAATGTGCCAGTGTGTCCAGTATTCATTCCACTTTAATTTCGGTTAGTGTGAATAACCTGGTCCTTAATATTTAGAGGTACAAGTTGCTGGAATTTAGATGAATTTCCAGAAGGTGAATGGAATCAAAATTCAACCTAGGGCCGGATTGTTATAAAAACATCTGTAGCCCTTAACCATGGGCCATTTGAAGTCTGTTCTTCAATTTCTTAGTTCTTCTTGGGCCTGATGAGTATTGGCCTCTGTCATCCATGTCTGTTGCTCCAACTGGTCTTTCAGATGCTGCATGGCTCGTAACTGAGCTAAAAGTACCTGAGACTGAGACAAGCCTTAAGGAACTGGTAAATGTGCAGCTTGAGACGCCACTGGCTGTATGGAAGATGGACAAACAATGACCTCCTTGTTACCATCTTTTCTGGAGCTGCTATATGGTGTCTGGGAGGAGTGCAAGTGTCTGCTGGGTCTCTGTTGGTGTTGAGGAAGGGTCTGAGACTGCTGTGTGAGATGATTTTCTGGAATTCTGGAAGGAAGCAGAAGGGGCTGGGCTGTGATCAAACCTTTCCAATGCTTCCTTGAGGCTTGACTATGTCTATACAATTATCAGATCCAGAATCTTGGCTTTTGTCAGCAGTTGTCTCAGGAAGAGACTCTTCAATGCCAAATATTCATATTTCAGCCCTAACTTCTGCATAATTTAGGATGATGTGAGTACCAACAATAAACTCTGGCCTTGAATTCCACAGAAGATCAATGATACAATGAGTCTGAAGCCAAATCCACTGTGGTCCTTTGTTCAGGAATCTATAATAACATGATATGCTTTTCCTATACTGCATTAAGTGCTCATGATGTTTTCGGCAAATGTTCTAGATCACCACATGATAATCATACCTGAATGTTCACAGAACTTCAAATGTCCTATCATAGGTAGTTCCTTGTGACCTAGCAATAAAATTCTAAACTATGTCTAGATGTCTAAAACTCTTCATTAAGCTCTTCAACAGTACACATCCTTGATGAACTAAATTGTAGCTAATCTGACAATAGCTACAATACAATCTTGATCATCTTAGAGCCTATATATGTCTTGTATAGTTTCTTTGAAACCATTCTGTGCTGAATTGGATACACTGTTTAATGATTGGAAATTTCCTATAAATTACACATATTCATAAGTACATGACTCCTTTGGTCTACTGTTCCTCAAAGCATATGACAACAGAATTCTGATTTTAAATATTCAAGTGTTACTGAATCACTTTCCAGCAGAGGGGTAGAGAATTTTTTATACCAGTGAATGTTCCCTCTCTGGGATAAAATACTTTGATCCACAAGATCAAATGGTAAATATTAAAGTAATGAGGTTATATTCTCTGACACAAATAATATGCTTGAGTCATGAGGCCTTAAAAACAAAAACATCAAAAGCCTCATTGTGTAAATTCTTCATTATTGAGGAATGTAGGTTTCCAGTCCTGTCAAATGTCACCGGTGTTGGACTCTGCAGTGATTTGTTTTCAGTAAAAAAAAAAAAAAAAAAAAAAAAAAAATCAGTGGTCTCCTGCAGAACAGATTTCCTCTTATTCTTATGTGGAACTCTCTGGGCTTCCTGGGTCTGGATGTCTGTTCCTTCCCAAGGTTAGGGAAGTTATTTCTTCTTCAAATATGTTTTCTGCTTTTTCTTCCTCCTTCTGTGACTCCTATAATGTGAAAGTTACTCTGCTTGATGTTGTCCCATTGGCCTCTTAAGCTATTTTTACTTTTTAAAATTGTTTTCGGGGCACCTGGGTGGCTCAGATGGTTAAGTGTCTGCCTTCGGCTCGGGTCATGATCCCAGGGTCCTGGAATTGAGTCTCCTTGGGAGCCTGCTTCTCCCTCTGCTTCTCTCTCTCTCTCCCTCCCTCCCTCGCTCTGTCTCATGAATAAATAAAATCTTTAAAAAAAAATAAAATTCTGTTTTCGGAGCACGTGGGCAGCTCATTCAGGTAAGTGTCGGACTCTTGATTTCGGCTCAGGTCATGATTCTTAGGGTCATGACACACATGCTCTCAAAAAAAAAAAAAAAATTCTTTTTTGCTACTGGGTGAACCCTACACTACCCTGTCTTCCACAGTACTGATTTTTCTTCTGCTTCATCTAGTCTGTTGTTGGAACCCCTCCAGTGTATTTTTGTAATTGCTGTCGTATTCTCCAGCTCTGTGAAGTTGTTTTGTACTTGCTTATACTTTCTACCTCTTTACTGAAATTCTTGCTGTGTTCATTCCTCTTGCAAGTTCGGTGAACATTTTCATAACCGTTACTTTGATTTATTAGGTAAATTAACATCATTTCATAACAGTTCTTGTTTCTTCATTTTGCTTGACTCTCTGTTGGTTTCCTCCTCTAGCTCTCAGTGGTGACATGGACCTTTGTGGTCTAGGCAACCTGATTTATTCTTGACAGGTCCCAGTTGTTGAGGGACTGCCAAGTCCTGTGAGTGTTCCAGAGGAAGGGATCTCAGTTTGCTCTTAGTTTCAGGCAGAAGAGAAGCTAGAGTAGAAGCTAGGACCCTCAGGCAGCAGCTTTTAAGGTATGAAAATACAGACACAGTCCTTTGGAACCACCATACACCCTGCTGGTCTACAGACCAGGCATCCTGGAAGTGTCCCCTAGGAAACTGTTGGAAACATCAGGGCTTCAGGTGAGTGTAGGAGCTCCTTTCTGGAAGGTACTGGTGAGCTTTAGCAAGGCCAACAGAGCACAAAGACGGCATCTCCTGGACCCTGTTCCCTGAGAACACTTTCGTAGCCTCTGAATGTGTTGGTAATCCTGAAGCCCCTGAGGCTGAATTCTAGGGCAAATAAGTCTTTTTCACAGGAAGACTGGAGAGTGGTCAGACTGCCGTCTATGCAGTACCCTGGGGACAGCAGTCTGCCAAGAAGATTGTTTCAGACCCTTGGGCGCCTAGCTCTGGCGGGGACTTGGGGGTGCCATACACCCACTAGCAGGTTAGAGGGAGAGTATAAAAGTGGTGTCCACTGGTGCCTGTGTCCCAGGATAGATTCCCATTAGGCTCCTGCCCCTTGGGCAGATGCTTTAAGATGAGCAATGAATCTCCTCCACACACACTGTTGCTTCTGCACGGGGTCCTTTGGTCAGTCTTTGCACGAACGCTTAAAGAGCAAAATCTGTTCCCTACCACTGTACTGTTCTCCTATGTATAAGCCCCACTGGCTTTCAAAGCCAGGCATCTTGGGGACTCATCTCTCTGGTGCAGGTCCCAAGCGTGGGGGTGCCTGACTTGGGGCACAAACTCCTTGCTCCTCCGAGGAAAAAACTTCGTATTTTTGATATCCTTCCCAAGTGCTGGTCACCACACTAGGGGTGGGGTTTTACGTGAGATCCTGTCTCTGTTACAGAAGAGCTGCTGAGTTAGTTTTCAGGTCTTTTTAAGAGGGAACGCTTTCATCTGTAGCTGTTGATTTGCTCTGTCTGTGGGAGGAGTTCAGTGTCTTCCTACGCTGCCATCTTGAACCACCTCCCAGTAGTAATTGAGTATATACCTTTTTAATGTTCTGTGATGAACTACAAAGCACACAGTACTTACAATGCAACCAAAGTATGATGGTTGCCTCAAGGAAAAGCACTTGTGTGACTGAGTTGGGAGCTGGACTAGATACTTTTTCAGGAAATATCATTTTTATTTAAAAGAATAAACTATGGTTACTGAGACTTAAGTATTTGGCAGATTTTACCTCCCCCCGCCCCAAAGTGAATGAAGTGAGCCTATCACTTCAAGGAAAATAACTGTCAATATTTGTCAACAATGATAAGCAACTTTCACGTGCCAATTAAAATTTTGGAAAATTTGTATCTACACTAAGCTTGACAGCTTCCCAATTCTTAGATTTTTTTATATTACACAATAAAATGTGTCAACATCTGAAAGACCTATGCAGCTTGGTGAGCCAACATTATCTAAAGGACCAATGCATGAAGTAACAAAATCACTGGCTAAAAGATCCACTTACAGTGCAATGGACTTTAAGAGTAATCTACTTCACCGATTCAGATTCCACACTGCAAGTGAACTTTAACAAACCACACCTTGGCAGGTTTTGATGTAGTATTAAGACGATAGACAATTATCTGAAAAGTCTACTAAAGTATTCCTTCCTTTTCCAACTACGAATCTATGTGAGGCCACATTTTCTCCATATATTTCAAAGTGACACCTCACAACAGACTGAAAGTAAAAGCAGATATGAAATAACTTCATTTAGAGAGACTGATAAAGACGTAAAACAATGCCCCTCTTGTAAACATATTTTGCTTAAACATTCTCAGTTTTAATTACTGATGTGGTAAATATCAATGATATAAACCATATAAACAAAACTTCAAGGTCCTCAGTAACTTTTAAGCATGAAAAGGGGTCCAGGGATAAAAACGGCTAATCCGGGGCTAGGAAAACTCACAACACTTAAGATTCACCAACTTTTGCCCTACAGATGACTTTTTTTGGATAAAACATGTTTGTGGGAATTGCAACATCATGACAGGGTCCAGGCACAGCTCAGAAATACTGCGGATTTGGTTCCAGACCACTGCAATAAAGTGAATCCAAAGAATTTTGTGGTTTCCCAGTGAATATAAAAATCGTGTTTACACTACACTGTAGTTCATTAAGTGTGACAGTGTTCTGTCTAAAAAAGGCTAACCATTACCTGAGCTTTCAGAGAGTCCTAATCACTGATCACCAAACACATAGTATGAGAATCATCAAAATGTGACATAGGAGGCACAAAGTGAGCAAATGCTATTGGAAAAATGGTGCCAACAGACTTGCTTGACACAGGGCTGCACAAACCTTCAATTTGTTAAAACAAAACAAAACAAAACAAACTGCAATAAAACAAGGCATGGCTGTATAATAATAATATCCTTGTAGTGTCCTGTACCCCCCCACACACGCCTGCCCAAAAAGGCTGAATGATACCTTCCTAGTTTGGAGCTAATTTTTTGTTCCAATTGTCTTTTCTTGGTTTTCCTTTCAAGCAGCTCCTTCTTCTTTTGTCTAAGCTCATTGTCTTTGTGTTCTAGATGTTTGTTTCTCTCATATAGGGCAATCAACCCTGCTTCCACTGCTTGCAATTTTCTATTAATTTCCTATAAAATAATCAAAATTGTTTTAAAAACAGTTCTAGTTAAAATATTACAAATTCAGTTAATATTTTTTTAATAGTCAAAATAACCAACCTTTAGCTGTTCTTCTAAGTGTCTTCTTTGCTCTAGATCCACAGTGACTGTGAGAAACTGGGCTACTTTTAGGGATGTGTTACTAGAAATAACTTTATTTGAATAAAAGGAAGTTTTCACCACATACTTTTCTTCTGCTGTATACATTTGCTTTAACCGGGTTTCTTGTATTACCTGTCACAGAAGTCAAACAATGTCAAACAAATGTGAGTGTACATCTAATAGTAATTAAAATATTTTTAAAAGGACTAAAGCATTGGAAAATATAGATCAAGTGAATTTTAGAAGGTCAAAACAGATGTACTTTCATTTTTTTTTTTTCTAAAAGGGTGGCTGATACACTTTAGGTTATTATTTTGGAGAACACTAAAGAAGAGAGAAGGGAGAAAACCCAAACAACCATAGCAAAGGTGGCTATTTTTCTACTTGACTATATAATCTCTCCCAAGTGAGCGTACTTTTGGAGTTTTGTTGGGTCTACAGAAGAGATACCAGGAAACAGTTGCCCAGGACACAGAACTGTGGTAGCTCAACTAAGTCATTTATTCTCTCACCTTCCCTCAGTTATACTGTTCACACATACATAATCATACCTAATTCCTGTATATTTGGAAGAAGACTTAATGGAAACACTTTAAGGATCTCAAAAAAAAATTTTTTTTTGCATTTTTTTGGAACTGAAACAAAAAGTTTGAAAAACTAAAGCACCTTCTAAATACAGTAACATTATATATTTCTGAATAGTGATGAAGAGTAGACTTTCATGTATGGTTTTTTCCAATCTCTGAAGCTTCACTACCAATACTCTTGTGGCTTGTTTCTATCCAGAAGTTTATAGTCTAAGTGAAGAGAAAGACCTATTTAAGCACACTTAAGTTTAACAGGGTATAATCTGGCATCCACAAATTGCTGAATAATTTGGAATGAAGGAAAAGCTAGAAGAAGTTAGGCTACTCAAGTTCTAATAAATTTAAATTGACAGTGAGGTAAGGGCCCTCCCAACAAAAAGGACATCATGACCTGAGGCTGGCAGCAGACAATTTAACCAATGGGGAGAGTCCTAGAAATTAATAAGGGCAAGTCCATAAGTGGTCTTGTCCTCTTTTCTAAATGATAGAAGAGAGGTACACCCACATGGAGAGTCCTAATATTCATTTCCCCAAATGTTCCCCATAATGTCATTTTTCATCAAAGACACATGCAACTTCTACTCTAATTAGCTTGGTGGAGTTCTGTTGCGCAAAATGGGTTGGTAATCAGCCCCTATTTCTATCTTCTCTCAGTAAAGTATAAAGAGTCCCTAAATTACAAATGAATTGTCCTAGGGATACTGGTAACACTAGGTGTCAAAATTTTAAAAACACATTTTCTAATAAATTCAATATAACAACTAGTAGTTGGGTCTCTAACTGGGTCCTAGATGCTTACAAGCGAAAAACAGGCAAACTGGTGTTACAGAAAAACCTCTTTTGGATGAAGAGATTTCTTTCCTTTTTCTGCCTATGATAGAAGCAATGAATTTAGTGTGAGTCTTGGAGATTGCTCATATGAGGAGAGAGCTCCCAGCATCAGCAGAATAGAGGAACTACGAGTGTGTGCTATGCTAGCCAGAAGAGATCCTATGAAGGCAGATAATCTTCAAGGGCAGCTTTAAGAAAGGAAGGGCTTACTAAAACAGTTCTATATCCCAGCCTACCATCCTAACCTATTAATTTCTCTGAAAAATAATCTAGACTACAAGAATTTAAATGATTAAACCACTAATAAAATGTCTGAACACAGATTTGTCAAGCAATACAGAATGAGGTAAGAGTGCCAGGTGTCTCTCTTCAGACTTCAAATGTATTCAATAAATACAAATATAAAGCATTTACTCTAGGTAACTCCACATCACTTAACACCCATCATATAGTATTAGTCAAAAGTCACTGTTTTGTGTATATTAAAAATGTAAAATACAAAGAATTTGCGTGCTTAAAAAAAAACAGAATGACCTACTTCTTTAAATATCTCAATTTTTGCCTGATTTTTTTATGCTAAGAAGTTTTAACAAAATGAGGTTCTGGTACTGATTCAGTACTTTCTTACCCGTTCAATTCTTTCTCTGGTCCTTTCAGTTCCTACAGGAACTTCATGAATATGATAATGGCAGCAAAGGAAGCTCATGACAGGATCAGGTGCATCAAATAACTCTCGCAAGTAAGAGAAAAATCCATACTGTCTGAAACGAAAAGCATTTACTAGATTTTTCTTCTTCAAAAAAAAAATCATTCACAGAAATGATAGTTAACAAGTGGCAAATAATAAAATATGATAGTACAGCAAAAATTTGTGTGTATTTTAAAATCACTTAATATTAAGTGATTAATGTTGAGACTTATTTCCTTGTCAGGAAAGTTTAATATATTCATGATTACAAACTATTAATCTCTTTTGTTTCTTGCATTGCTTTTATATTTAGGATGTTTACTTACAGCTGTTTTAGAATTGCAAATTTTCTATGTAGTCCTTCTGGAAATCACTTCTGCATTATGAAGTGATGATTTGTTTTACTTTTCCAATACCTAACCAACTATTTTAATATCTTTCATTAAACAGTCCAATATTATTCCACTGATCTGAAACATCACCACTATACAGTAAGTATTCCATGGTTTGTTCCTAGATTTTTCCTTATTTTAGACTTAAGTAGAGATCCTAAAAGGGAATAATATAGCCTATAACATTTATGTGAGAGATAATTAAAATCTACTTACGAGCTAAATGAATATTGAATAACCAAACAGGTTAATTCTAAAAATATTTTCGAGACTTACTTTAGCTCATTCAGAGATCTTGAAGGTGCTTTGTCTGCATATGAGCTCTTGGGAGCAATAACAGCATTTACTCTTAATTTTTTATTGTCACGAATCTGAATATAAGGGAAAGAAAATATTTTCATTACCATATACTATCAATCAAAATGATTTTTAAAGTTATATTCCTAGGTATTTAATGGTACTTTCAAGAAAATTTTTTAGTGTGATGACACTATAATTACATGTTTTTATAGAAAGAATTTATCAGTGAAAATAGTAAAAGAAATATGTTCTAACAGTTAAGGAAGCAGTAATACCAAAACTTTCAGGAGGAAGTGCAACAGCCATTTCCCAAATCATTTTATGATTCCAGCATAATCCTGATACCAAAACCTGACAAAAACAATATCCCTCATGAATACATATGCAAAAATCCTTTACAAAATATCAGTACACAGAATCCAGCAATATGCGAACAGGACACATGACCAAGTAGAGTTTATTCCAGAAATGCAAGAGTGTTGGAAGCTTTCAAAAACCAATCTAATTTATAGCAGCAGAATAAAGTACAAAAGCCATATGATCATGCCAATAGATGTGGAAAAATATGATAAATTCTCCGCAAACTAGGAACAGAAGGAAACTTTATCAACCTGATAAAGGGCATCTATGGTAATTCATAATACTTACTATACATGGTAGTATGGGAAATGGTACTCTAACAGATAATATTACAGGAGGCAGTTATATACATTTCACAATTTAAAATACACACACAGTCACACATATGAGAGGAAGTTCTGGTCCTATTGAGAAGCTATGGAAAGTTATAAAAATAAAGGTCAAAATTTCAGGAACCCATGTCACATTATCCACATAGGATGCAAATCCTTAGCACAGAGGAAGCGTGAGTTTTTGACTCATAAAAAAGGCACTCAGTGTAGGCTAAGCAGGCCATTTCCAACAGAAAGCACCTAACTAACCGCACCTGACTGAATGCCCTTCACAGCACGCCGTATCAGACTTGTAATCCAAGTAACCTACTTCTTCAAAAAGCTCTCACACACCAGACCAAAAACTCACTGGATAAGCTTAAATAATTCCAACCTAAACAACTGTCTAACTTTTTGGAGTCCATTCTATAATTTTATGCACGCAACTTTTTATGCATTTACCAGATATTCCTATTCCCTGCCAACTCCCAAACCAGAAGGAGGGCAATATGGTAAAAGCCAGAAAAAGTAAGGATTCTTTCCAATCACTAGTGTACCACAGAAATAGAGGACCACTTAGGTGATTCAGAGTCCTGTCCTCATTTATACCTGCTAGCAAAGATTTAAACAAAACAGAATCTAAACCTAATCTTTAGGGCTTTTAAAAGAAGGTGACATACACAAAAGGACAGAAATCTTACAATAACAAGAGCTAACAATACATATTTTATACATAACCACATGTAATAAAAATAATCGCAAACAAGCACTGTTCAACACACCTTTAGTCCTCACAACCAACTTTTGAAGCAGATAATATATCTACATTTTACAGATGAGGAAATTATGGCATAAAACATTTAGGAAACTTGCCCAATTTGGTAGCAAAGCCAGAATTCAAATCTTGGCAGCCTACCTTTAGACTCTGCGCTCCTAACTACTAAGCCACATTGCCTTGTAGTGGCTTAGATTCTCAATGGTGTTTCTGTAGCCAGATACAGAATTCTCATTCTTTTTGAAGAGGTTTTATTTAAAAGCAACAACCTATCGATTCCCACACTCCCCATCAAAGAAAAACTGAGTTCATTCCAATATATTTTCAAAAAGGATGTCTAAGACCAAAGGTCCATCATTACGGTTTTTTTTTCTTGAAACAGTATGACAGAATTACTAACTCCAACTCAAAACTGTTACAGATGGAATTATGGGCTTTTTCCTTGCAAAACAAATTCATTCCCCAATGATGACAGGGATAAAAAAAAAAAATTCACAAAATTGAATGATTTTACACAGGAGTTACTGCTGGTATAATTAGTCACTATTTTTTGCTTTAGTTTGAATTTAAAAAACTTAAGTACCAGAAGATTAGCACCAGGTGAATCAAAGTATTATGTTGGTTACTTGCCTCTTTGAGAAAAACCTCCATATCTTCTTGACTCTCAAATACAAAAGCTCTCAAGTCATTTGATGAGATATGATTTTCAATATATTTGGCATTTTTATTATCTTTCATATTGATCTAAATAGAAAAAAAATTAAGTTAATTCTCATGAAATCCAATCCAAACTGATTACTACAACATAATTTTACTTTTATTTAATCCGATTAAAATTTAATAGTTGGAGGGGGGAGAATTTGGTATTGAAGATTCAACATTTTAAAACCGCTACTTAATTTAGTATCCAGAAACATCTAATAATACATAGTAAAACAAAAAACAAGACGTGAATAAGTACCTGGTGCATATCAATTTTGATTTTTATCTGAGAAATAACTATGTTCCTTTTATAGTCAATTCACTGGGAAACATCTGAAATAGGCTTAGACTGTAATCTAAGAGTGTATTTCTCATCATCCCCAAACTTTTAATATTTGTCGTCTTAATCTTCAAGAGAAAGTCATACATGGCAATAACTGATCAGTACAAAAACACAAAGAATTACAACACAACTTTAACAGTGCTTTCCAGAGAAATCCTAGGCTTATACCACTGGAGCATAAGCTTTAGGATTTATCTTTTAAATATTAACAAATCAGGCACTTCTGCATGTGAGGCTCAATGCTATGGAAAATACTAAGGTCAAGATAACAAGTTGTTTCAAGATGACTACAATCTACTTTTTGCAGATTGTAAGTAAAAAAAAAAAAAAAGCACAACACAATAAATCTCTATAATAGGCGTATAAAAACTGCTCTTAGGGAATTTTAGGGGGGAGATAATCTTCAGCAGATGGAAATCAGCTTTCTTGAAAAAACCATTTATGAAAGAGAAGGGTTTTAGGTTACCATATATATAAAATACTGCATACTAGTTAAGAGCTAAGACTCTGGGGTTAGACAGATGTTGCTTCAAATCACGTACCACTTATATCTCTGAAAGTTTTAGTTAGTTCTTCACCCAAATGGGTACAGTAGAACAGTCTATATCTCAGGAATAAATGTGGATTAAGAGAGCTAATAAATTTAGTATGCTTGTCATATAAACGTGGGCAAATATTACTATTTTAAACTACAAAATATCATTTAGCATAAAAAAATGGGAAAACTGATACACAAACAAAAAGTCACATCAAATACCTGGACATAAACACTACAGAAATTTAGCCTCTATCGTTTGACAATTTTTGGGGGGTACCAGTTACTTCATTAGAAGGAATGGTACAAATGAAAGATAAGTGGGTGTTAAGCTACAACTTAGAGAAAGGGTAAAATAACCCCAATGTGACTGCAGAAGTCACCTTTTTAAAAGTCACACAAGTAGGGGTCATGTCTGTCCCTGCCCAGTTTGTGCACTTCCAGCAGTGACCGTGTCACACTTTTTTTTGCCAGGTATAATGCAAACTGCACTGCGTTCAGTCTGGCTTCTTGACATCCTGAAGGAAAAAAGATGTCACCACTTTGTTGGCTCTGAAGCTTCATCAACTACTTAGCATGCTCCCCCTCGTCAGATTGGTAAAGAAAATATTTGGCAAAGTTCAAGGCCATTCCTCCACAACACAGTAGAGGCAGAGAGAGGGGACACAGCACTCCAAGGTGATCCGGTGGTTGATGGCAGACTCACAGTTCAGATTGTTAACATGAAATCTTTCTATATATCCTATCTTAGAACCGGTTTTATAAATTCATTAATCGGTCATAAATGTCCTCTTATATTAACAGAGACCTAGAATGACATTTTTAATGGAGGCATAGTATTCCATTCAATGGATAGAGAATAATTTACATGACCAATCAATCTCTTTGGAAATTTTGTTCTTTGCCCCACCATTATTTGTGCTATTATAAACACTGCTGTGAGGAACAGAACTATAAATACATCTTTGCACACTTCTACTGTAGCCTGGAATGGTTAGAAATAACTCATGGAAATGGACTGTTAGTTGACAAGTTATATGGCTAAAATTTTAAGTTTATATACTGCTAACTTGTCTATGTTGGTGACATCTCAACTAGATATTGAAAGATTAAGTGTGTGTATGTGTACTGGGGTGGGGGAACACAGAAAGGTGGTAAGAAAGGTAAAGGGTTATTCCAGAAAGGATAAAAAAAGCAAGACTACAGCTTTTTATCTCAAAGATTCAAATCTAATTTGAAATATAAATATATGCCAGCTAGTAATCCCTCTTGGTGACAGGCTACTATTAGGAGACCAAATGATAAAAGGATGGCAAATTTACTAAAGTTGTGAATTATAATTTTGAGGTTGACATTTTAATAAAAATCTGTTGACAATTACTTGCATTATAATTTCTTAAGGCTCAAAATATTTTTTTTTCTTTCAGTCCTTACCATATTAATCAAAACAATAATGTCTGCATCCAAAATAGATATTCCCTTCTTGATCTGGCAAAAATACTCTAATAATACATACCTGAGCAAGAAGAGAATACAGTATTCATATTAATTTTGCTAATATAGTCTAAGATATTCAAAAAGACTACATGAAATGATTTTAACTAAAGAATAATACATGAATTAAGATAGAAGTTTTCATGAATCCTGCAAGGATCTACAGTGCATTCTTTTCTAAAGTTAAAAAAAAAAAAAAAAACCCCAGCAGTAACAATCCTTAAGTCATTTTTGGGTAAGTTTCATCATCGCCAAAGACTGGTTTTTACTTTATTTTCTCTTTCCATGGCCAAACTTATTTAAAATATTTTAGATAGAAATCTTCCTAGCCATTCCATGGCCACACTTCATTAAATGATTTACTCAATATAGCTTACCCTGTTCTTAACCCATGATCATCAAAGAGATATCAAGGGTTTATGAGGTCAACAGACTGCTGGTTGCATTCTCAGAATCCTAAGAACGCTCTGTTACTTGAAGGTGGCTTTCCCTTCTTCTACTGGTTCCCCCATCAACATAGTTATTTACAGCAGTTTCTAGCCCTTAGACCATAGATTAAATGCCACCCAAGAGTAACAACTGCCAGAAGGAACTACCTAACCAAACTAATTTTATACATGATTCTTGGTCAATAAGCTCACAGTTTCATTCTCTTTCTAGACAAAGTTCAAAGACTTATTGATCACAACTCAGGTATGGATTCAGCAACCAGTAGCCACAAGTCTGATTATGGAAAACCAAGGTGTTAATAAGACTAGGAATTCAGACATCTGGTGTATGTGCTTGGCTGAGGAGCCAATGGGGCGAAGCTACCACCTGTGGGATTATGACTGAACGCCTCTAAGTCAGAATCCCGGCCAGGCGGAACGATACGGCAGCCCCGCGGCACCTCGGTTGGCCTCGAATAGCCGGTCCCCTACCGGCCACGCCGCCGCGCGTGCTCCGCGTGGCGTGGCGTGGCATGGCATGGCATGCCCCGCCAGGCATCGGGACGGGGTCCGGTGCAGAGAGCCCCTCCTCCCGGGAAATGGGGCGCGGCCGGAAAGGGGGCCGCCCCCTCGCCCGTCACACAACGCACGTTCATAGGGAACCTGGTGCTAATACCATTCGTTGACCACCTGCTTCTGGGTCGGGGTTCGGACGTAGCAGAGCGGCTCCCTCGCTGCGATCTACTGAAATTCAGCCCTCGACACAAGGGTTTTTTGTTTTAAAAAAAAAAGACTAGGAATTCTTAAAACAACAAAAATCTATAAAGTTTATAGATTATAAGAGGATTATAAATTATAAAACTAACAGATACAACCAAGATGAACAAAACTTCTTACCGTGAGCATTATAGGCTCACAGACTCTTTGCTTAAATTTGTCCCGGTTACTTCTTAGCCATAAAACAGCATCATATGTGTCACGGTATCTTTGTCGCAGCTTATCTTCCTTCTGATTCATAAGATTGTCAAATCGTACAATATTATCACCCACACCTAAAAAAGGAAACTAAAGTATTAGTTCTCTGAAAACTTTCATGAAATAATCCATTAGTAATACAAAAGGGTATCTTAGATCCAAAAGTTAGCAACACCACTCAGCAAATACCCACCACCGTGAGAAAGCAACACCCCGGACAAATGACTATCAAATTTCCAAACATTTGAGATAAAACATTATCTTTAGGATACCAAAATTAAACAGGTCACAAAAATAAAGAGGTCATAAAAAAAAAAAAGAGTAAGGAAACACTACATTTCCTAACGAGATGATTGCAACAGGCCTTCAAAATTCTAAGAGAAAAATTATTTTCAACCTAGAGTCACATATATAACAAAACCAAGAAAAGCAGATCAGGAAATAAAGGTATTTTTAGGGATGCAAAGACTCTGAAATTAATCCCCAAATGTCTCTTCTTACAAGGTTACCTAAAGATGCGTAAGGAAGTAATGTAAGAAAATACTAAGTAATGTAAGAAAAACAAAAAGCCCGCGGAATTCAGGAATAGCTTTACCCAACACAGAGAAGGATCTGTGACAAAGCCCGACAAATCCCAGACAACAGCCACACAGGCAGCTCTGAGAACAATCCATTTAGATGGAAGGAAGTGGAATGGAGGGCTCTAGACCGCAAGAGAATGCCTACTCTTTTTTTCTTTTTAAGGAAATGTTAAAGCAAATGTTTTTTTTTTTTTTTAAAAAGGTAAATTAAAACCTTTAGAAAAAACAGCTATCAGTGAAAGGAGATCCGATCATAAGGCACTACCTGGCTCTACCGTGAACTAAGTTTCACTGCTGTAACAACAATACTTAATATTTCTAGCTTTCAGAATTAACTCGTGAACATAGCAAATAAAACTTGATATGGTTCTCAATAAAGTGTTTTCAGCCTTGAAAATATAAAAACCAGAGTACAAATTAGAGGACTTAGAATGTCAGAAGAGCAGAAAGTAAAAAGGATGAGTCAAAGTGTGTATTCAAGCAATACAACTATTTAATGACACAAGATATAAGGATATTATAATCAATCATAAAGGTTAATGATTAGTAACTAATAACCCCACCTGAGGAATTCAAATAGGATGGGAATTGTTATGAGCCAAAATCTGTATCTCAAATTACAAAATATTAAGATAGTATCTAAAATTGATTAATCAAGGCATGGTGAAATAAGAACATGATAAAAATATAAATGAAGATCTACTGGAAAAAACTTCTGAGTGAAAAATGCACACACCTGAGAGTGGGTGTGGAGGTTTGAAAGAGGTGGAGGGCACTCTGCTAAAAATAAAATTGAGGCGGTTTTCTTTTTTACTGATCTTAGTCGTATACACTGAGTAGACAGAACTTAAGACCTCTTCTATCTGAATAATGTTATAAATCTATTTTCATGGTCCATAGGAAAGAAAAGCAGAGATGAAATTGGACACGTTTCAAAGGGGCAAAGCTAATGGAAGGTTCTGAAGACTAGAATGAAGAGCTTAAATTTGATCTGATAAATAACAGTGAGTGACTTTGAAGAAAATAAAGGAAACCATTTTTAGAGAATTCAATCAACTGTCATAATCTGACATACATAAGGCAATGGTTAGCCAGTGGCAAAGCACGGTATATGCTACCTATAAGTGATTAAGGCACTAACTTGGAAAAATCAAGCTGAGCTTCCTCAACAAGGGGATGTGAGTAGCTAAAGACATGGTACCAGCAGAAGAAGAAAGCCCATCAACAGAAACAGATCTCCATTTTATAAACATCTCTTCACCCTAAGTCTCATAAAACTTACTCTTTCTCTCCTTCTCTAGGCTCTCCTTCTCTCCTCGCTTATCAATTACCTCGCCTTCACATAATGCCTTTTCATCTTGAACTCGTCTCAAATCGTTTGTAATGGCATCAATCTGGGGCTGAAGATTCTCACAGTTTTCTGCGGTCTTCAGTTCATTCTGCAAATCCTCGATCATCTTCCGAGTGTTACTTATCCTCCTCTGGCGGTCGTGTTCTTCATTCTGTTTTACGGTTAATGCCTGCTGCAGTTCCTCAATCTGATAAAACAAAAGAAGGATGGTACTGGAGACTTTTTTCTCTTGCTTTATAAGGCTTTTATAGCAATACACTGTTTAAAATGCGAACAACCCAAGACCATGGGTGTTCTCCTTACTAAAAGGCACTCTGCTGTAACTGCATGTTACTCCTACCAGACCGCCTGCTATCTTTATTTGTTCACTAACATATCCTAAGTACCGAGAGCAGTGCTTAGCATCGAGTTAGCACTTATTAAATATTTGCTCAATAAATAAAATATCTATAAAGCCAATTCACAGATTTCTAAATACTGACAGTAAATTCATATTACATACCGGAAGACCACAATTAAAACAGCATTCACATGTATATGACAAACTTTCAATAAAGCAGTAATAGAAATGACAAGATTATGTCTCTTAATTTTAAATTGAAAAAAAATTTCTTTTTGGATTTTATTGGAGAGTGAGCAAGAGAGAGAGAGTGTGTGCACATGAGCAGGGAGAGAGAAAGAGGGAGCAGCAGACTCCCCGCTGAGCAGGGAGACTGACACGGCGCTCGATCCCCAGGACCCTGGGATCATGACCTGAGCCAAAGGCAGACGCTTAACTGACTGAGCCACCCAGGTGCCCCTGAAACTATTTTCTTTCAAAAAAATTACTAATACTTGAAATTAGTATTTTGAGATTAATCCTCCAACTATATGTTTAGATTTGTTGACATATTCAAGGTAAATTATTTTTTAAAAACCCAGATCATATAAGATGCCAGTGGATTTTTATCAAAACCTTATAAAGTCTACCTAAGAGTTAAGACTTTAAGATACACATACACAAAAGTATACATGTATACAACCCTATTTTTTACAAAAATAGAATTTTGTAATGTTAACACAAATCACGTAATTTGTTAGCTTGCTTTCATTCCAAGCCCTATTTACTTACCCTTCCACCCTCCCCATTATCAAAGTAGGACCAAATTCATTATAGAAAATATGGGAAGTACACTAACTTTTAACAAATAATCACCTATAATCTTAATATCCTTAAACTTTACATTTTAATACCTTCTATCTTTCTAAAGCACGTATGTTTTATGGCATCACTAAAATGTATTGAGAACAGTTTCTCATGTTTCCCATGTCCTTGGCAAAACAAAATTTTGTTATCTAATGTCTGGTTATATGGATATAACACATTTTGTCCCATTCCCTACTGTTGGACATCTGGGTTGATAACAGTTTTTCCTTTCTAAAAATTTAACTTTGACAGTGTCAAGAAAATGAACTGAAATATCCAAAATCTCCTCTCCTATACCAAACATGTAGAAGAAAGAAATATTTAAAAAGTTAAAATACGTATCTGTGATTGAAAGCTAACAACGTTCAATGGACCTAAAAGAAGGAAAGAGACAAGAAGCCACAGTGTCCAGCCAGGAAACCCATGAAGTCCAAGGCAATGGGAATAAATAGGTGCTTAATGACTGAGCGACCCAGTCGTTAAGCATCTGCCTTCGGCTCAGGTCATGATCCCAGGGTCCTGGGATTGAGCCTCGCATCGGGCTCCCTGCTCAGCGAGGAGCCTGCTTCTCCCTCTCCCTGCCGCTCCCCCTACTTGTGCTCGCTCTCTCTCAAATAAATAAATAAAAAATCTTAAACAAAAACAAAACACCAAACACATCAAGTCCAGCTCCATGAAAAAGGGACAAGAAATTTAGCAAACAAAACCTTTGTACTCCCAGCAAAACAGAGACCCACCAAGCTACCAAAAATCAGTGGGCTACTGAAGAAATCTGTATGACTAGAAGGTCCGTCTGACTTGAAAAACTAGGAAGCAGCCCAGTGGTCCCTATCCTTCCAGGTTAAGTTTTCTGAACTCTAAATCACGAGCAGCTCTCACCCAAGACACTTCCATGACTAATCCCATCATATTCTGGTTTTAGCTCAGACATCATAGGTCCAAACTCCTAGACCACCCATCATCTTCAGTTTCCATGAATGTTCTCTCTCGTTCTGACAGTTGGCTATTCCTGAAAGACATTTCTCCCTAGTATCCTCTCTAAGGTGACCTGCCAAAATCCTTCAGACAGCTTCAGAACTAAGAAGTGGGGAGGGTGTTAATCCTCATTAATCCCTACTGTACTATTTCCTCCATTAACTGAGCCCCACTTAATGTCCCTTGAAGGCTGTGCTATCAGGTTTTGCCACCCATTATCTCTGTTGCTGTGTTAACTACCTCCCTCAATATCCTTCCTCCATTCATTGATAATTTTAGCATGCCACTCACTGTTTTTCTCTCCATATGTTGAAGTCCCACAATCTAACTCTTTGGCCTCCGTGTTCCTGGACTTCTTCAACTTTCCTAAACCCCTCCTCAGCTACCTTCTCCTATGGTTATACTTCAGATCATGTAAAGCACCAAAAATCGTACACCTGAAAACCATTTCTACAATTCTATTCTGCCAGTCCCCTTTACTTCCATTTTACTTACTGTGGTATCCAAACTATTGACTCCATAGAGTCCTGCAATCCAGTGACCCTACTCTATCTTTTCACAATCCATCATCCCCTTCATTTCTTTCTTTCTTTTTTTTTTTTAACCTGTTGAGGTTCTACAACCCAGCACAAGAACCACTCCCTTGGAAAGACTCTTGACCGTCCACCATTCCTATGTCACATGAGCCAGGAAAAAAAGCACAGTCTCTATTAAACCTAACTATATACCTTCTATGTATCTGTATCCAAGCAGCTGACCTAATTGAAGAAACTCTCCAAATGCACATCTCACTTTGAGTTTATGACTACAAAATTTAAGTAAGAACTCAAACCTACCAGAAAAACCTATTACATTTCTCTAATAAATACGTGTACTCATTCTAAAAGGAGTTCACATCTTGGCCTCCACCCTTCCTCAGTCCTTTATTGCTGCAGGCCCTCTACTCACTCAGCTAAGGGCTTTGTCTCATACTTCATTAACAGCATAGTTAAAATCAGTACTATGAACAGAGTACTATTCCTGCTTTAAAACCTATCACCCTATTTCCATCTGTACTCACTCCATTCTATCTTGTACAATGTAAGGAGAGTTTTTGCATGTGAAGCAGATGTGTGAGGCAAATCTCCTGCACAAAATCCTTTCTACCATTTACATAGCTCTGATAGTTACTGTTAGAGTCCTTTTCATATAGTCACCCATTCAGCTCTTAGAATAACCCCATGAAGTGAGTGCCATTATTCCATCTTTAAATATGGGGAAACTCCTCTGTAACTGGTCTATAAATAATCTGGAATGCAAATAATTTTCTTAAAGATAGAACAAAAATACAAAGAGAATATCTCAGAGAAGAAAGGGCTAGAGACATAATCCAGAAGATTTTATATCTCATAAGAGAGGGAGGAGAAGAAATCAGAGTATAAAAACTCAACACAATGAATTAGTAAATAACTGGTATATACATCCATAATAAGACATAATCTCACTTTATAATTTCACAGCACCTACGATTAAAAAAAAAAAAAAAGCTACCCCAAATTCCAGAGACCAAAATATACACAAACACACTCATGGACATACACACAGCCCAACAAGCCAGCATGGTGAACAGCAGCACTCTTGAAGAAACTGAGTAAGAGAGACATCAGCTTTCTGAGCAGCACTGTTGGATGCTAGCACACAGTGGGACAAAGTTCCAAAGGGCAATGATCTTTGATCCAGAATTCTTTTCTGGCTAGTTCTAGCTAAGTTGTCTATAAAATTTGAATGGAGAATAAGATGTTTTCAGAAATGCAAGGATTCAGACCTTTTACTCTTTTTATTTCTTAGGCATCTACTTCAGGATGTATGTGCCATAAACCGAAAAGCGAACTGAGCTGGAATAGAGCCCTGGATCTAGAAACCATGACACCAACACTGGAAATAAAGCTACCTAAATCTAACTAAGCCTACTCCAAGCAGTGTTTCTCTAATTACTTATGCTGAAGGACCTATTTAAAAAAAGTTCCAAGCCATCAAAAGTCAACTTTATCAATTACAACTACAATAAATTAACAATCATTTCGGAAAACAGCTTGTCAATTCCTTCAAAAGTGAATTGTATACCTAGGATATTCTACTCCTAGGAAATTATCAAAGAAAAATGAAAGCACATATTTACACTGAAACTTGTACAAGAATACTCATGGCAGTTTAATGGTAATAGCCCCAAACCAGAAATAACCTTAATGTCCATCAATTGTTGAGGAGATAAACTGTGGTCTCAAGGGGAAAAAATTCATTAAACAAAAATAAAAATACAACGTATCAAAACTGGTGCACACAGCTAAAGCAGTGATGAGAACAAAGTTTACAGCATTAAGTATATACACAAGAGGAAAAGTTTCAATAATCTGAGATTCCACCTCAAGAACCCAGAAAAAGAGCCAAATAAACCCACATCAAGCAGAAAAAAGGAAATGATAAAGATATGAACAGACATCAATAAAATTGAAAAGGGAAAAACAAAAATCTATGAAACAAACAGCTAGTTCTCTGAAAAAAAGCAATAAAATTAACAAACCTCTAGAAAGGTTGCCCCCATCCCAAAAAAGACAGAAATTACCAGTATCAAGAATGAAACAGGGTTATCATTGTATCACTACAAACATCAAAAGGATAGTAAGAAACTTTATGCACACAATTTGAAAACTTAAGACACAATGAACCAATTCCTCAAAAAACATTAGCTACAACTCATTAAATATGAAATAGATTATTTGAATAGCTCTCTATTAAAATTCATAATTTTAAAACGCCCCAAAAAAGAAATCTCAAAAACCCAGATAGTGTCATTTGAGAATTATTCGGAAGGTTTGAAGAAAAATTAACACCAATTCTACACATTCTCTTCCAAAAAAAAAAATTGAAGAGGAGGGAACATTTCCCAATTCATTTTATAAAGCTAGTTGGTACTCTGACACCAAAAGCAGACAGTACAAAAACTATAGAACAATTTCCCTCACATAGACACAAAAATCCTTTATCAATTAACAGAATTCAACAATATATAAAAGTATATTTATAAGCCACAACCAAGAAGTATTTTCAGGGATGTAAGGTTACTTGATGGTTAAAAAAATCAATGTAATGCATCATATTAATAAGCTAAAGATGAACATGGACACTATCATATTGATAGATGCAAAAAAAAAGCACTTAAGAAAATCCAACACTCAATGATAAATACTCTCAGAAACATGGGAATAGAGTGAAACTTCCCAAACTTGATTAAAAAAACATCTATACAAAACCTACAGCTAACAACATACTTAAATGCAAAAAACCTGTTGCTTTCCTCCTAAGATCAGGAACAAGAATGTCCACTCTTGCCATTTTTATTCAACACAGTGCTGGTAGTTCTAGCCAGTGCAGTAAGGCAAGAAAAGAAATAAAAGGCATTTTTCAGAAAAGAAAAAATAAAGCTGTCCCCATTTGGAGATGACATGCTTGCCTAAGCAGAAAATCCCAAGGTCTCTATTTCTTTAAAAAGAGAGAGGGAGAGAAAAGAATCTCTTGGGTGTAATCTCACAAAACACAGAGGACATGTATACTGAAAACTACAAAACGCTCACTGAAGAAATAAAATATCTAAATAAATGAAGACATACCGTGGTCAAAGACTGGAAGACTCAACACAGTAAAGATTTCAATTCTCCCCAAACTGATACACACGTATAATGCAATTCCTATTAAAATCCCAGCAACATTTTTCTGTAGATATAGAAAAGATTTGGATGTCATCAGGAATGGCAAAGTCAAACTATGAAAATCCTCTCCTCCATTAAAGCAATGAAAACGCTGACAAAAATTGTCAAAATTAACTTTTTTGGAACTCTGAAATTTAATCAAAGGGTTATAATTACATGGAGACTGTTTATTCAAGAAAAATGCCTGAATCTTGGTTAAAAACAGCAAACCCTGTGGAATTCTGAACATGTCCCCATTCCCTTCCCCAGTTCCATGGCAGCCTTGAAAAATCAACAGCCCACAATCACAGTGAAATCAGCAACATAGTAATACTGGAGAGGTCAGAACAAAGTTAAAAAGGTTTCAAGTTATCATTCTCAGAAAACTACCATTATCTGATCTATCTGCACTTCTTGGAAAACCTTACTACAAGGCCTATCTTTATTTGACATGACTCCACAGCTTGCAGCCTTTACCCTGAAGGCATTTGTTAAAAACAATCAGTGGCATGTGTTTAATACCACAGCTGTTTCATGAGGAGTAACAGCTGTGGCAAACAATAAGCTAACCAAAAAAACTTAAGCTGGAGAATGAGACACCCCGTAGGAGACTTGGGAAACTTCTGGGGAATCTAGAAGCCTATATGTATGAGTAGACAGTATGTATGCCTAGGACTGTGCACATGCTCAAGACTGGAAGAGGCCCTAAGCTCTCACAGAGGCTCAGGGCACACAAAGAATGTTTCTCCTTGAGGCTATGGGCAAAGAGGAAGTAAAACCCAAAACAGAGCTGTAAACTAGCATTGGATATTAACCAAAGCTTGCAACAATTCAGAGAGCACTTACTGAATCCTGGTCCACAGTAAAAACACTACCCTGCCGTGTGTTGAAGGTGTGACCCAACATGCACGAAGAGACCCTCAACAAAGACAGGGAGACATCCTGGTTGCAGTCATTTTAGGAAATAGCTGACCAGTACACTAACTCAGCAGAGACTTCAGTAGTCACATACAACAAAAAATACAAATTTCAAAGAATTAGTTAGGAAAGTAACTAAACAAACAGAAACAAGAAGCCTGGGGAGGGAAGGACAACTGATTTCAAAGTTGCTACATCATGCTACTTCAACTGCCAGTTTCAACAAAAATTACAACACTTGCAACAAAAACAAAGTATGGGTCATACACTGGAAAAAAAAGCAGTCAATAGAAAATATCCCTGAGGAAGCCCAGAAATAGACTTACAAAGTAAAGACTTTAAAACAGTTATTTTAAAAATGTTCAATCAACTAAAGAACTAAATCAACTAAAGAACTAAATCAACTAAAAAAAAAATATGTCTAAAGAACTAAAGGAAGTGAACAATCTCACTGAATAGAGAGTATCAACAGAGGAAGAAAGTATAAAAAAGCCAACTAGAAATTGTGGAGTTGAAAAGTACAATAACTGAAATGAAAGATTCACTAGTGAGGCTAGAGATCTGAACAGGCAAAACAAAGGAAATTTGAAGATCAGTCACTTGAGATTATCTAATATGATGAAAAGAAAAAAGTGATTAAAAGGTGTATCAAAGTATACCACTGTATATCAAACTATGCAGAACAGGAGTGTCAGAAGAAGAAAAAAGAGGCAGAATGAATATTTGAGGACATTAATAACCCCAAACTTCCCAGCTTGGATCTAAAACATTAATCTGCATGGCCCAGAAGCTAAATAACTTCCCAGTAGGATAAACTTAAGGAGAGTCACATTGAAAAAACCTAATAGTTAACTACTGAAAAAAACGCTGAAAGCAAGAAAAAAGTTAACTCATCATGTACAAGGGATCCCCAATAAGATTAAAAGCTGACTCTTCATCAGAAACCAGGGAACTAGAAAGCAATGGAACATCAAAGTGCTGGAAAAAAAAAAAAGGACAAGAATTCTCTATCCAGTAAAACTATCCTTCAAAAACAAAGGAAAACTTAAGAAAGCCACTGCCAGATAAACAAGAACTGAGAGAATTTGTCATTAGCAGACGTACCCTAGAAAAAATCCTGAAGTCTTTCATACCAAAATGAAGGGACACTAAACAGTAACCTGAATTTATAGAAATAAAGAGAACCAGTAAAGATAACTACACAGTTAATACAAAAAATAGTAAAATGTATCTGTTGTTTGTAAACTTTCTCTTATCTGACTTAAAAGACAACTGTTATGGTATTAATAAAAAGTATTTATTTTCTTAGTCCCGAGTCCCTGGCTTGGAGTTCTAAAAACCCTTGGAATTTCCTGAGTGACAGGAACATCTTTTGTTTTTCATACCAAGCACCCAAGCACTTTGGACCATGCCTGATTTTATGATAATAAGATGATTCTTGGAAGGGCCCCTTGGATAGCTTCAGAATGGAGACTGGTTGCCAGAAGAATCAACCACATGGATTAGAGGGCTGAAACTTTCAACCCCACCCCCTGACCTCAAGGAGGGGGAAAGAACTGGAGATTGAGTTCATTTACCAATGGCCAAAAAATTTAATCAATCATGCCTACATAATGAAACTTTAATAAAAAAAAATCCTAAAGAGATAAGGTTCTGGAGCTTCTGACTTGAATAGGTCAACATTCTGGGAAGGTGATGCACCCACAAGAGGGAATGAAAGCTCTGAACACTCTATCCCCCATACCTTGTCTTATGCAGCTCTTCCATATGGATGTTATGGAGTTGCATCCTTTATAATAAACTGGCAATTGTTAAGTATAATATTTTCCTGAGTTCATGAGTTGATGTAGCAAATACCAAACCTGAAGAGGGGCTGTGGGAACCCCTGAATTTGAAGCCAAGTTAGGCAGAAGTGCAGACAGCCTGTGTCCTGGGTCCTTGAGACTTACGTATGAAGCAAGGGTTGTCCTGTGGGGACCAAACCCTTAACTTACAGTCTGCCCTAATTCCAGGCAGTTAGTATCAGAATTGAATTGAATTGTAAGACACTTGGTTGGTGTCAGAGAATCAAACATTGTTACAAAAACAAAACTATATGAAGAAATAATTATAAAAGCTGTGCTGATAGGCTTATAATAATTAAAATACAATTTGTATGGCAATAATAGCACAAAGGAGGGAGGGATGGGATGGAGCTATATAGGGGCAAAATTTTGCACACTACTGAAATTAATTGGTATATGAACCAGATTGTTAAAAAGATATTGTTATTCTAAAGGCAGCCACTAAGAAAATAGCTCAAAAAATACACAGTGAAAGAAACAGGGAATTGGGGCGCCTGGGTGGCTCAGTCGTTAAGCGTCTGCCTTCAGCTCAGGTCATGATCCCAGAGTTCTGGGATCAAGCCCCGCATCGGGCTCCCTGCTCCGTGGGGAGCCTGCTTCTCCCTCTCCCACTCCCCCTGCTTGTGTTCCTGCTCTCACTGTGTCTCTCTGTCAAATAAATAAAAATAAATAAAATCTTAAAAAAAAAACACAAGGTAATTAAAATGGTACAACAGAAAATATTTAACATAAAGTAATAATAGAGAACTAGAGGAAAAAAAAGTCCTAAGATGCAGTGACAACAAATTAGCAAAATGGCTCACATAAATGCTACCTCTGTCAGAAATCACATCAAATGTAAATGGATTAAACACTCCAATTTAAAGGCAGGGAGAGGCAAAACGGATACAGAAGATGGATCCCGAGTTCATCTCCTCCCATGGACACAACAAGGTAACAGGTACAACTATACAACTAACCCTGAGAACAACCTAAAGACTGGCAGAACAGACCCTCCACAGTCAAGTGTCGAGAGGCGGCCACGTGGGAAGGCATAGGAAGGACAGAGACACTACTGGCAAGTAAAGCCCTGGAGGCAGTAACCACCAGTGGGGAGGACACAACATGGAGAAGTTAGAGGATCAGACCCCACACCAGGAAAACCTGGCAGCAGGGGTCTGCACTGCGAAGACGAATCCCTGTAACATGAGGCTTGAAAAATCAGGGGGACTTAAATCTGAAAGAGCCAGAGGGGAATAGGAAACTCAGTTGCTGCCCTTAAAGACTCAGCAAAACAAGTAACTCTGTGCAACACACAGCACAGAAGTAGCCGTCTGAAAAGCACCTGGGGTATAAGTGAAGGGGATTTACTGACTAATCTTAGAATGTGTGAAGGGACAGGGATCTTCAGGAGATTTCTCCAGGAACAAAAGTGCTGGCAAATGCCACTTCTTTTCTACTCCACCAGCTTACATAGGCAGACACTTGCAGAAGCCAGCGCTAACACTCTCCCCCATATATCCTGCTAGCAGTATGTGCTCCATGCAAGCATTCCCCCGAGGACTGACCCATCCAAACCACTGCTCCTGCCTCACCACACCCTGGAGGCAGCCCGAGCAGGTACTGGTGCCACTCCAAAGTGATTCCTGCCTGGGGAGGTGGAGAGATAACCCCACACGGGCACACCTGCAGTTCCAGCAGCCCAGACTCTTAGCTGGCTGTGCAGGGAGCAAGCTGTGCCCTTTGATGCTCCTGCAACTATGGCAGAGAGGCTAACGGGAGACTGCTAGGCTGATGGCCAGCCCTGCCTACCAACAAGCCTGAGGCAACCTCAGGTCTCTCAACAGCACAGAGACTAAACCCTGCCTAGTGCACCCACAGCATGTAATGTGGGTCATGGCAGTCAGCTAGGCTGAAGGCAACAGTGGCTCAGCCACAGGAGTAGGGTATATGCAGCCCACACACAGGGCACCTCTGGAGACCAGAGAGGGCAAGTGCTACATGGTACCATAGGACCTCTTCTACACAAAGCCATGACTTTCACAACTAGGAGATGTAGCTACCCACCTAATATAGAGAAACACACACAAAGTCAGGCAAAATGAGACAGTAATATGTCCCAAATGAAAGAACAAGACAAAAATCATAGTAAAAGAGCTAAGTGAAATGGAGATAAGCAACGTACCTAATAAAGAATTCAAAATAATGGTCACAGAAATTCGGATGTCAGAAAAGAGTAGATGATCTC